CACACCATGAAAGGGCCGTATTAGAACAGAGGTTACGTAGGAAGATATGACAGGAGTAACCTCTGTGGGAAGAGAATGTAGTCATGAGTGAGTTGGGTTTTACGCCGCTTTTAACACTATTCAAGCAATATCACGACGGGGAACACCGGAAATTGGCTTCACACATTGTAGCCATGTGTGGAATCGAACCCGTGTCGTCGGCGTGACGTAGGAAGATATGACAGGAGTAACCTCTGTGGGAAGAGAATGGCTGTCTCCAAGTGGAGTGTGTTATATAATGAGAACAGACAAATACTGAAACATTTAAAATACATATACTATTCAACTTTTGACAGGGAAACGGAGTGTCTTGGAGGGGTCTGAATGCGACTGGTTGATTGCTAAGATATGTCGTGATACGAATAATATTTGGATTCGCCATGGAACTGAAGTATTTGAGGGGCGGTGGGGTAGCCTAGTGGTTAAAGCGTTGGCTCGTCACGCCGAAGACCCGGGCTCGATTCCCCACATGGGTACAATGTGTGAAGCCCATTTCTGGTGTCTCCCGCCGTGATATTGCTGGAATATTGCTAGAAGCGGCGTAAAATCATACTCACTCACTCACTCACTGAAGTATTTGAACTTTATTTCAAGCTGATTAAATATAAAATACCTTTGGTAATATAAAATACCTCTATCTAATATTGATTAGTATATATACTACTCAAAGGTTCTAAGGATCAAGTTTTGACGATATAAAAATAAATTTACAAATAAAGGTTGATATATCCAGCAAAACAATGACTGTGTAACCACTCAAGGACAAGTTCGTAATACATGGAGGAGCCGTGCTGTGGTTCAACGACCGAATAATTAGGCAGATGCACAGGTTAACTCGGAACTGGGTCAAGACGTCACGTTACCAACCATCACGTTACTATGCAGGCAGTCTACAGCGGGAAGACTGGTTTCTCCTGATTGCAGCAAGGCGTCATTACTTGACTGCCACCCCATTCGTTATGACCTGCGCAACGCCAGTGGCGTTCACTTTTCGACACCGCGGGGCTGGTCTTCGGTCACGGAGGACATGCATTAGCATCCCAGTGACCCCACATCACAGACAGGCATGTTTTGATGGGGCTGAAAAGCACGTCAATTGGACAGACCTTGACTAGGATCTAGTACTCTTCACTGATGGATCGAGGTCGTCAGCAACCACGGCACCCGAGAGTGGTGTAGACAAAGAAGAGATGTCCAGCTACATGACGATAAACCGAGTTTGGAGACAGACTACCGAGTGATTGACATCATGAGCATCGATATACGCAACTAGAAACGATGACATCATCCGAATCAGCGAGCCTGACCACCCGATCCCGTTAGTCGCCTCGCCTCGCCTCGCCTCGCCTCTTACAAGAATGGTTTGCTGAAGGCCAATTCTAACAAAGAATGGAGCGATATTCCCTTGGCAACCATAAAAACAGAAGATGACAGTGGCAAGCTGTGGACGCGCCGCGTAGGTCGCCTACCTCCAGCTGAGTTGCTTTTGAACAATAACGTTTTGACGTTTCAGTTTCAGTTTCAGTCAAATGCTCTCATTTTGTCAGATGAAATGTCTGATCATTCGTCACGTAGTTTCTTGCCATTCTGTAGCACATGGCCATGGAGTTTTGTTCATTTGACATCCCTTCACGTAATACTGACTAGCTATTTCAGCGGATGCACACATTTCGGCGGATTTTCTGTTATAAGTAGTGATCCTTTGCAATGTTGATTAGAGAGTGAGTTTAGTTTTACCCCGCTTTTAGCAAAATCTCAGTAATATCACGGCAGGGGACACCAGAATTCTGTTTCACACATTGTACCCATGTGGGGAATCGAACCCGGGTCTTCGGCATGAAGACTGACTGACTGACTGAGTTTGGTTTTACGCCGCTTTTAGCAATATTCCAGCAACATCACGGCGGGGGACACCAGGAATGGGCTTCACACATTGTGCCCATGTGGGGATTCGAACCCGGGTCTTCGGCGTGACGAGCCAACGCTTTAACCATTAGGCTACCTCACCGCCCCTCGGCATGAAGAGCAAACGTTTTAACCACTAGGTTACCCTACTGCCCCCACCCGACCTGAACCCTGTCGAAAACGTGTGTAACCACCTGCAGATCGCCCACTTTCAACGCCTTGAGCTTCCGGTAACAACGTAGGAACTCAGCCATGGTCTTACCCAAAACTGGAACAATATTTCCTTGGCAACCGTCCAGACATCAAAACAGACGCTGGCAAGTTGTGATCGCACCACGTGGGTCGCTTACCTCCAACTGAGTTGTTTTGGGACAATAACGTTTTGACGTTTAAGTTTGGGTTAAATACTCGGATTTTGTCAGATGAAATGACTGATCATTCGCCATGTTGTTTTCTTGGCATTGTGTGGCACGTGGCCATTGAGTTTTAAAAAATTAACTAGATTCTGAGTTGTGGGTTTCTAAAACAGAATCACCCTTCAGTTTACCTGATCATATCAAGATACATGTATGTATAAATCCACCTACCCTGCAGATATTGTTTTAATTTACAAGATGGGATTACCAAATATAATTGAATGGAATAATGCTTGGTAATGTCCTCTGATGCCTGCAGTGTCCCTGGAGTGTTGTACAGGGATACCTTTAATTGTTTCATTGTAGTTTTGTTTCAAACAGGTGTAGAGTTGGGAATTGGTTGAAATCTCACAATTGATGATTGCTTCATTACCAACGAGAAATCATCGAAAAAAATTGGTTATCGTTATTTCTCAGCTATTTCTATTCAGGGTGTTATTGCAGATTCGTCATTTCTCAGATATTTCTGTTCAGGTTGTTATTGCAGATAAGTATAACTTGATGCAACTTGTCACTTTAAAGTGATGACTAATATATCATAAACATAAACTACTCAGTCTTTAACTATTATTAAGTCATGACTTTTCAGTTATTGAAGTGAGTTTTCTAAGAATTAAACACATTTTCAGGCCTTGACAACTTCGAATCTATGCTCCATCGACAAGAGTTTCAAAGACTAAAACAGTAGTTCCAAAATCGTTTGTGTTCGATTATGAGAAAATGTGATAATTGCTTGGTCATTTGGTACCTGCGACCAATCTTTGATTATTTCAATTAATCGGAACACCACTAAACAGGCGTATGGTACAAGGACTGGCCATTTGGACCCATCATGTCCCAGATTCTTAACTTACAAATTGACCATCGACATTTTAAGGAGCCACTTCACAAGTGAGTGAGTTTAGTTTTACCCCGCTTTTAGCAAAATTCCAGCAATATCACGGCAGGGGACACCAGAATTCTGTTTCACACATTGTACCCATGTGGGGAATCGAACCCGGGTCTTCGGCATGAAGACTGACTGACTGACTGAGTTTGGTTTTACGCCGCTTTTAGCAATATTCCAGCAACATCACGGCGGGGGACACCAGGAATGGGCTTCACACATTGTGCCCATGTGGGGATTCGAACCCGGGTCTTCGGCGTGACGAGCCAACGCTTTAACCATTAGGCTACCTCACCGCCCCTCGGCATGAAGAGCAAACGTTTTAACCACTAGGTTACCCTACTGCCCCCACCCGACCTGAACCCTGTCGAAAACGTGTGTAACCACCTGCAGATCGCCCACTTTCAACGCCTTGAGCTTCCGGTAACAACGTAGGAACTCAGCCATGGTCTTACCCAAAACTGGAACAATATTTCCTTGGCAACCGTCCAGACATCAAAACAGACGCTGGCAAGTTGTGATCGCACCACGTGGGTCGCTTACCTCCAACTGAGTTGTTTTGGGACAATAACGTTTTGACGTTTAAGTTTGGGTTAAATACTCGGATTTTGTCAGATGAAATGACTGATCATTCGCCATGTTGTTTCTTGGCATTGTGTGGCACGTGGCCATTGAGTTTTAAAAAATTAACTAGATTCTGAGTTGTGGGTTTCTAAAACAGAATCACCCTTCAGTTTACCTGATCATATCAAGATACATGTATGTATAAATCCACCTACCCTGCAGATATTGTTTTAATTTACAAGATGGGATTACCAAATATAATTGAATGGAATAATGCTTGGTAATGTCCTCTGATGCCTGCAGTGTCCCTGGAGTGTTGTACAGGGATACCTTTAATTGTTTCATTGTAGTTTTTGTTTCAAACAGGTGTAGAGTTGGGAATTGGTTGAAATCTCACAATTGATGATTGCTTCATTACCAACGAGAAATCATCGAAAAAAATTGGTTATCGTTATTTCTCAGCTATTTCTATTCAGGGTGTTATTGCAGATTCGTCATTTCTCAGATATTTCTGTTCAGGTTGTTATTGCAGATAAGTATAACTTGATGCAACTTGTTACTTTAAAGTGATGACTAATATATCATAAACATAAACTACTCAGAGTCTTTAACTATTATTAAGTCATGACTTTTCAGTTATTGAAGTGCGTTTTCTAAGAATTAAACACATTTTCAGGCCTTGACAACTTCGAATCTATGCTCCATCGACCAAAGACTAAAACAGTAGTTCCAAAATCGTTTGTGTTCGATTATGAGAAAATGTGATAATTGCTTGGTCATTTGGTACCTGCGACCAATCTTTGATTATTTCAATTAATCGGAACACCACTAAACAGGCGTATGGTACAAGGACTGGCCATTTGGACCCATCATGTCCCAGATTCTTAACTTACAAATTGACCATCGACATTTTAAGGAGCCACTTCACAAGTGAGTGAGTTTAGTTTTACCCCGCTTTTAGCAATATTCCAGCAATATCACGGGAGTGAGTGAGTGAGTTGGGTTTTACACTGCTTTTAACAATATTCCAGCAATATCATGCCGGGGACACCAGAAATGGGCTTCACACATTGTACCCATGTGGGGAATTGAACCCGAATCTTCCGCCTGATGAGCGAACGCTTTAACCACTCAGCTACCCCACTTCATGAGGTGGCTCAGCTGACTTAAACAAGAACATGACACAGGTGTGCTTGTAGCAATATTTATTACAGTCTGCGACATGAACTTTGGCAGGTGTAGTACATAGCGTTGCCACATAGACCTGCAGGTGTGTACTGAAAATATCATCCAAAAAAACCCATGCATACATAAAAAACATGCCCGTGGACAAAAATATACAGGCAAATAATATTTGGACCAGTCAAAAAAACCATCTTAGTTTTCATAAAACTGATGTCATATGATCAAACAACAGCCAAAAGTTCATAAAATACGATCGTCCCACAAACTGAGTTTCTCGGACATAAACCATGATTTCAAATTACACAATCTGGCCATTTGTCTGGAAGGTTTTAAGAAACCTATTTTGTGTTGAAATATATCAAGGGTTTGGGTTTGAAACCATCTTGGATCTGAACTTTGGTGCCCATGACACTTGTCACACCAAACTCAACAGGATTCTCCTGGCAACCTTAGTGTTAAACTGTTGAAAAATATACCATTAATTGTGAAATTCATCCCTTATTTATGACTATCAGGAAATTCTGTTTTCCCTATCGGCTTTGACCACCGAGACACTCTTAGGTAGAGTAGTGATAAAAAATCAGTTGTCAATCATTAGCATTAAACTTGTTAAATGGATTTGTTTATAAAATGTTTAAATGAAATACCATTTTTGTGCATAATTTTGAAAAGCATTGAAAGAATGTTGGTCCACATCCAAATAATTGATTCACCTGTAATTTACCAGCTATTCTGTAAAGTGTGACTGACTGTAGAATAGAATAGAATAATCCTTTAATGCCTTTTCAGGAATTGTGAAGTTGGGTTTCAAGAAAGTCTTCCATCATCCAAAACATAAATCTTTCAAACACTGATAACTGAATAAAACAAATAAAATTGGTAACTAAATGGTGTCCTTATTTTGAAACTGAACCAAACAGGTTCCTAAATATCACGATAATAGGAGCTGATTGAACGTCACAGATGGTGTATCTCACCATCCTACGACCCTGTGACTTTACTTGTCAATGGCACTGTGGGAATATACTATCACCGGAGAACTATGGGCTGGTTCATTATATAAGATAGACATAACACCATCTTCTTATTTGATGTAGAAAACTATCAACACATCTGAAACAGAGCATCAGATTGGATTTATAGTGAAAACACTAACACGAATAGATGGATCTGGCTGTCAAAAACATTGGGGAGCATTCTTTCAGACCTTTATCTCACAATAAACAATAACTTCAAACGAAATGATGTGGAATTCCTAAGATTTCACCTTAGAAACAGACCACAAGAAACAGTAATTTGCTAAAACAACCATCAACCTGAATTTTGGATGAAATTATCAAAACATTATTACTTGAAAAAAATCATTAAATTGTTACATAAAGCCAATAATACATCATAATACGAAATAATACAACATGGCTTTATACACATATTCCTTACCTTTCGAAAGCAGTATCTTTTGCTTAAACACTCAGTACTCCTCTACCACTTCTGGTTCAAATTGCCACCAGTCTGTCATTCAGACTTTTAACCATCAACATCATGAACAACAAACAAGCATATGACAACAAGGCAGATTCATTCACAGGATACAAGCATAATCGCCAGTACGAAAACAAGGCATATCACATACAGACCTGTGGCAAACCTCTTCCTGAAGTGAGCCTCAAGAATATGGTCCACACATATACTGATTCAGTTTATTGGTGACTGAAATGAGCTTTCCCATTAAGTAGAAATTGTCACCTCAAAACTAAGGTGATTTTGAAATATTCTATTTGAGTATTTTTTTTATCAAAATTATTTCGCTTCAGTCTAATATTCTCTTCCTGTACTCAAAAGGTGCAGGTTGAAGATTTTCCATAAGAAAAAAATCGTTTTGGGAAAAACGTCATTACATCAAATTTTGAGGAAATATTTCTTTGCTGAACCTCCTGCTGCTGGCTCTGTGTATATCAAAAGCAACCACACTGCTTCGACAGTAAAGAAATACTAGCCAATCAGCAGGCTTGTTGCAATAAGCCACAGGAAGAGTGGTGGTGCATCTTGGCTTGACCTGGTAAAAGGGTCCTAATTTTGGACCAAGGCTGTGATTGCAAAGTTGATATTTTCTGGATCACGATCCATGAACTTCCGCAGGACCTTGGCTGTGTCCTGTAACATTGAATAAACATAAACTGTCAACACACGAGAATAATCCGCATTTAGGGATGGATCACTGATTTTGGAGGAGGCGGGGTGCACATATATCATTAAGTCCAAAGGTTAGGGGGAAATGCTCCTCTGGGAAATTTTTTGGCACCCCCACCCCTCTGGATCTGCCCCTGGTCTTGATTATTTGCTGAAACATTTGTTTGTTTGACATTGGCTGTGTTGTGCCACATTCAATATATACCAACACCAACACTAGAGGAAAATAAATCATGATTATCAGCTGAAACATTTGTTTGTTTCTTGTTTAGGGCTGCACTTGTAAATATGTCAGCTATATTATAGACATATGTTACATCAAGTCTGAATCCAGTGACCGACATCATGAGCAACAATAAATGATTTGGTAACTTACAATGTTTAGTTGAACATAAGCATATTTTCTGCTAACCTGGACTTTTGAGGATTGGTATGCTGGCAAAATTCTGTTCAAAACTTGAGCAGTGGTTATATGAGACCAAGTGAAAAGAATTCTAGTCAAGTTTTACCACACTCGAGAAATGTCATTGTTCTTAGCTTAGGGACCAAATCTCTACTCTGGTGCAGAATCAAGAAAGAACAGGAGGACCTATAGGAACTAGGGTGAGTGAGTGAGTGAGTTTTACACTGCACTCAGCAATATTCCAGCTATATGGTGGCGGTCTGTAAATAATCAAGTTTCTGGACCAGACAATCCAGTGATCAACAGCATGAGCATCAATCTACGCAATTGGGATACAATGACATGTGTCAACCAAGTCAGTGAGCCTGACCACTCGATCCCGTTAGTCGCCTCTTACGACAAGCATGGGTTACTGAAGACCAATATTCTAACCCGGATCTTCACGGGTGTATAGGAACTAGAAAACTATTCTATCCCATCATCACTATGGATAGACAAGCATGAAGTACAGGGGGTGTAATCTGACATGGAATCCCAACAGGGAAACAAGCATAATCTATAAGAGAACCTAGAGCTTGGCTTTGTTTTTCAGCGGCAACTTTGTTTCAATGTTTTACAACATTAACTTTGTGGCAGCAAATAGAAAACAAGAGTCATCAGAAGATGACATATCCCCCCGGCCCCCACATCTTTGAAAGAACAAATCATCTGACAGTTACTTAAAGTCCAGCTTGATTTTAGACTAAGTGCAAATCGTTTCCATGGAAATCATGAAAAAAATAAATGACAAAAATCTGCAAATAGCAAAAGGCACCACTTTGGGATCTGCCTCACATATCTGCCAAGTTTTGCTGAAAGACATTGAGAAGTTTTCGAGTTGTGCTCCGGAAACAAAACCTACCCCTCCCTTTTGAGACTAAGTCCAAATTGTTTCCATGGAAACTGAGAAAATAATAAATCACAAATATCTGCAAATAGCAAAAGGCACCACTTTGGCATCTGCCTCACATATCTGCCAAGTTTTGCTGAAAGATATTAAGAACTTTTCCACTTGTGCTCCGGAAACGAAACCCACCCCTTCCTTTTTGAGACTAAGTCTGAATCATTTCCATGGAAACTGAGAAAATAATAAATCACAAATATCTGCAAATAGCAAAAGGCACCACTTTGGGATCTGCCTCACATATCTGCCAAGTTTTGCTGAAAGATATAGAGAAGTTTTTGAGTTGTGCTCCGGAAACGAAGCCCACCCCTCACTTTTGGGACTAAGTCCGAATTGTTTCCATGGAAACCAGAAAAGGCAAAAATGCTAAAAATCTGTAAATAGCAAAAGGCACCACTATAGGATCTGTTTGATATATCTACCAAGTTTTGTTGAAAAATATTGAACGGTTCTTGAGTTATGCTCCGGAAACGAAGCCCACCCCTCACTTTTGGGACTAAGTTCGAATCGTTTCCATGGAAACCGTGAAAAGTAAAAATGCTAAAAATCTGTAAATAGCAAAAGGCACCACTTAAGGTTCTGTTTGATATATCTACCAAGTCTTGTCGAAAAATATTGAACGGTTCTTGAGTTATGCTCCGGAAGCGAAGCCCACCCCTTCCTTTTGAGACTAAGTTTGACTCATTTCCATGGAAACCAAAAATAATAAATCACAAATATCTGCAAATAGCAAAGACACCACTTTGGGATCTGCCTCACATATCTGCCAAGTTTTGCTGAAAGACATTGAGAAGTTTTTGAATTGTTTCCATGGCCCACCCCTCACTTTGGGACTAAGTCGAATCGTTTTCCATGGAAACCGGGAAAAATAAAATGCCAAAAATCTGCAAATAGCAAAAGGCACCACTTTAGGATCTGTTTGATATATCTACCAAGTTTTGTTGAAAAATATCGAACGGTTCTTGAGTTATGCTCCGGAAACGAAGCCCACCCTTCTTTAAGACTAAGTCCAAAACGTTTCCATGGAAACCGAGAAAAATAAAAATGACGATAATCTGTAACTAGCAAAAGGCACCACCTTAGGTTATGTTTGACATATCTACCAAGTTTTGTTAAAAAATATCGAACGGTCTTTGAGTTATGCTCCGGAAACAAAATGATTACGGACGGACGGACGGACGGACAGACGGACAGACGGACGAGGCGACGACTATATCCCACCGCATTACATGCCGGTGGGATAATTATTAAGTCTGGATTGAACAATCTGTGGATCCATACTAACCAAGCTCGGAAAGCTATGTAGCAAATAGGTAACTCTGCTTTTCATATTATTCTTTCAAAATTTACAAGAGTCAATGGATTTGAAAAAAAATTAGAAACCTTTTTCACACGATAAACTAAAACACCTGGCTGGAGAAGACTGGAAGATTGAGGACAAATCCAGATTACATATATTTGATAAGTGACCTATTTGTTGACGCAGGACTATGAATGAAGACAGCCGGGGTTTCCCACAATCCACAAGACAGTCAGAAGCTTTCCACGAGGGTCAGCTCTGAAAGTCAGCACTGAGCCACCATGATAATATTTCATCATTACTTGCTAAACCTGGAAACTTTAGATAGGAATAAACAGATGAGCTTGTTTCCAGCTTTGATCACAGCAAGTATCTTGCAGTGAAGGTCATGTTCACGATTATTACGCTTATGTAACGCGTGTGCATGTGCTTGTATTAGCTAGTTATATGGTGTTGTCCCACTAAGATCCATGCCGCAGTATAACATGAATAAGCAACAAAGACACAGTATACTAACTCCAAAGTCAGATAATTTGGTTCCTCCCCTAAATACTGTGTACCAAATCTTAAGATCTTTTTGCTTAGTCTGGGCCACCCAGCACATTGTTTGGCCTTAAATGTTGGAGCCAACCAATGTCTTGGGCCAACCAGCACATGTTTGGCCTTAAATGTCTGGGCCAACCCAACCAATAAATGTTTGGCCTTAAATGTCTGGGCCAACCAGCACATGTGTTTGGCCTTAAATGTCTGGGACAACCAGCACATGTTTGGCCTTAAATGTCTGGGCCAACCAGCACATGTTTGGCCTTAAATGTCTGGGCCAACCAGCACATGTTTGGCCTTAAATGTCTGGGACAACCAGCACATGTTTGGCCTTAAATGTCTGGGCCAACCTGCACATTTAAACAATGACAAATAGCAAATGTTTTGTAACCAAGTATGTATAAACTGACTGTACACATTTACGTAAAAAGAAACGGTTCAGCACATTTACACAGATGCAGAGATTATCCAGGAATTCCGAATTAAGTGGCAGTTAAAATTAAGGGACATGGAACAGGAGGAATACAAACATTTTGTCAAAAATGGGGGTACATAAAGTTCATATTTTATTATATTTAGAGATATCCTTACATGATATTCAGTGCAAGAATAGGTCTGAAAGGTACTGTAGCTCACCCGAAGTATTATTAAACATTTGATAGCTGTTTAGGGTCTAACACTGTATTAATTATGTCGACAGTTTGAAAATATTCAAGCTGAAATAAAAAATCCAGGGATAAACTCATGGTAATCAATCGGAACAATTAGAGCAACATATGTTTCTACATGTCAGTGAGTCTGACTAACTGATACCGCAAGTCATCGCCTACGACAACCATGGTTTGCTGAAGACCCTGTTCTTAATGGAGCATCATAATTATGAACAACTAATGGAAGCCTTGTTTAAAGTTGGAGGGGAATTCTGTTTGAGACAACATAGCTTAGATCATTCAAAAAGTTTCAAAGCTCTACTTATCTAAATTCAGAAAAGATTTCAAAAATCAAAAATAACACTAGAAAAAGAGGGGTTCACAGAAGACAGTACAAATGTCATAGAAAATTTAAAAAATCCAAACATACCCCAAAATATCTCATGTGTCATCGATGTTTATAACACTTCCCCCTCAACAACCTTCACCTTCAAGGAGTGCACGACAACAAAGCCAGTTCATATGACTCAACAGTGAGTGAGTGAGTAAGGTTTAATGCCGCTTTTATCAATATTCCAGCAATATCACAGCGGGGGGACACCAGGAATGGGCTTCACACATTGTACCCATGTGGGGAATCAAATCCGAGTTCGAGTGACGAGTGCACTCACGCGCATGCGACGCACGCATTGGAGTAAGTTTACGCACTCCACCCACCCACCCACCCACCCACACACCCACACACCCACACACACACACACACACACACACACACACACACACACACACACCATGACACAACAGAACACAAGAGCCAAATATACCTGCACAGAAGACAATACTGCTTGTCACTTCCTCAGTGAAAAAATTTGAAAATAGCAAGGTTAAATACCAGGACCTCTCCTTTGTACAATGTGCTTAATCATATAGAAAGCTCAGAGTAAAGAGGTGGAAGGAAGTATATCACTCAGTCAAGGTTTGTTGAGCAATGACTAGGAGGTATTGTTGTTTTGTTCGTTGCAGGATCCCAGATGAGAGCAACAGCATAAACAGTGTCTCATATTAACACAGTAAAGGCTGCAGGTAAACATTAGTGCAGCTGTACTGAGTTTATAGACACTTGATGAGTCATGAGGAAAGTGACAAGGTCCTACATGTTTATCAGTTTTATGAAACCAATGACAAAGGGTATGGAATTGATAAACATTCAAATCAGCCTAAATTTGAGATTTGAACAAAGGGTCACAGGATTCTGTCATATCTAGGGGACACAACTCTGTCCAACCAACTGCAGCACTTTGAATCACACAGTGCCAATTACTGTCTGTTTTATATGGAGATTTCATTATGTCTTTCACAAATAAATCATTTTGTTTGATTCTTACTATAAGTCAAACATGTAGCTCTTTAATAAATTAAGTCAAACATGTAGTTCTTTAATAAATTAAAATCATTAGTTTCACAAGTTTTATTAACAACTGGTTTCTGGCAAAATATTTTGTGGCAGCATTTTATGGTTGTTTCTCAGTATTTTTACACAGGAGGTGAAGTGTATTGGTGCACATATTTCTAAAATTCATACACTTTTTCAAGGCATTTGATTGGCTGATTGTGCAGGAAAACAAAGGTGACAAAACTGGACTGTGAATGGCAACCAAAGGGCAATGTGTGCAGGTTAACAGAATTTTTTCTTGAGTGGAGGCTGTGCTAATATCCTCAAACCCAGAGCTCCAAGCTCACAAAACATTTTGCATACAATCTTATGACAATGAAACACAGAACATACTAGCCATATGCTATCTTTACAAATCCCTCTGGCCCCCACTAATTTGAAAGAACAAATCATCTGACAGTTACTTAATGTCCAACTTGATTTTTTTTAGACTAAGTCCAAATATTCGGAAATAAAGCCCACCCCTTTTGAGACGAAGTCCAAAACGTTTCCATGGAAACCGAGAAAAACATGTGCAAATAGGAAGAGGCACCACTTTGGAATCTGTCTCATATATCTGTTCTGTTGAAAGATATTGAATGGTTTTCAAGTTGTGCTCCGGAAATGAAACCCACCCCTCCCTTTTGAGACTAAGTCCAAAACGTTTCCATGGAAACTAAGAAAAATGAAAATGACAAAAATCTGTGAAAAGCAAAAGGCACCACTTTAGGTTCTGTTTGATATATCTACCAAGTTTTGTTGAATCATATTGAACGTTTTTTTAGTTATGCTCCGGAAACAAAACGATTACGGACTGACAGACAGACGAGGCGTCGACTATATCCCCCGCATTACGTGCCGGGGGGATAAAAAGCAAAAATGCTTGATGTTTTATTCTTGAGACATTCTCAGCTCGAATCCAGAACTGCCATGCTGCAATGATGACATACTTGGCATGACTTTAAGGAGGCTAAAGAAGACATTAAACAAGCCACGGGAACATCTGATATATCGTCCATGAAACGTTCCAAATAGTATATACAAATACTGGCAAGTTCCTCATTGGAATAAGTGGTTTTTTTATTAGACTTAACAGAGTTGACATTTTCATTAGATGCCCCCTTTTCATGAGATGGTGACCTCTTAATGTAATGTTAGAAGTCAAACTGGAAATTGCCGTCTGCTTCATATGCACAGTTGTCTAGTATACTAATACTACTAATTTTCTGTACATCCTTTAGTACGTATTTTCCAAGTGGGAATTAGCAGACTGAGTGTTGTAAATGCCATGCTAAAATGATGGAATGATGGAATCCAGGAAGCCAAGACTGACATTTGTTTGTTGGTATCTTTTTCAGTCAGGGATTTAGTATGGATTCCAAATATGTATTCCCGTAGCAGACAAATAGGAAAATATTTGTAATTTTGTTCCAAATTGTAATTTTTTAACTTCCTTTTTTCTTAATTCTAACAAAAAATTGTATAACTGTACATTACAGCTTCTTGGCCCTGTTGTCAGTGTTATACACCTTTGCAAAGCAATAATTTTAGTTACTATGATTACAATATAAATGCCTTAACAAATCTTCAATTGAATTTCGGGATTTTTCACTGACATTTCCATTACACTTGCTGCTGGGGACCGACCGGTATTCTAGAACACAATCCCTTCAGTGCCAGGTCTGCATACACCAGTGGTTGATATCAAAGTGACTCTCACAAGACTGAGCTTTTAGTTTTACGCTGCTTTTAGCAATATTCAAGCAATATCACGGCGGGGGACACCAGAAATGGGCTTCACACATTGTGCCCATGTGGGGAATCTAACCCGGGTCTTCAGCGTGACAAGCCAACGCTTTAACCACTAGGCTACACCACCGCCCCTGTAAATAATGGGCACGTTGAAGCTTTGTAGGGGTGGGCAAGCATTGTGCCCCATTCAGAAATCCATGTGCAGCCTAAATTCTACCTGCAGGCGTATAGATTTCAGTGGTGGCTGAGTGGGTTAGATGGCTCACTTTGTGTGCTGGCAGTTGGGTGCCTGACTGAGAGTGTGGGTTCAATGGGACTCAACCCAACAAAGTACTAGCATCTATACATTACTGTAATCTAAAATAGAACATAAGTTACATTTGACCACTTTCTAAATGGCAATGTGTATTAATTTACACCTCCAGGTCAGACATTTTTTCCTTCCCAGGAGGACTTCTGTCAGTGGCATTTTAATGAGTGAGTGAGTGAGTTTAGTGTTACACCTCACGTCTGGACCAGAAAATCCAGTCATCAATAGCATGAGCATCGACCTGCGCAAATGGGAACTGATGACATGTGTCAACCAAGTCAGCGAGCCTGACCACCCGATCCTGTTAGTCGCCTCTTACAACAAGCATGGGTTACTGAAGATCAATTCTAACCTGGACCTTCACAGGTCTATGGCTTAGCAGAAACAACACAACATATCTACAGAACATCTTGAACCTAATCATATCCTCATACAGAAACCTCATCTTGCATCAATAATGGACTAGTGATTAGTACTGCTGCTGATTGAACTCCTCAAAACAAAACATGTCCAAGTTATCAATATTTTTTTTAGGTCAGTTTATGTCAATGTTTGGCAGCATATGCAGAACTTGCTCAAAGCAGCACTTAGGAATATTATAGTTTTATGATGGCAAGGTGTAAATAATTGAGTGTGGATCAGACCATCCTAGGACGGACATTATGAGCAATAAACAATCTATGTCATGTAACATAGGTTACATTTGGGATTACACTTTCTTAGTAAAGTACAGATTCTAGTACTTTTGGGGGGTTGAGTTCCATCCGGTTTCAAACCCACACCCTCAGAGTCAGGCACCTAATCGCCAGCACAAAAAGTGTGCCTGACTGATGGTGTGGGTTCGAATCCCGGATGGGACTCAACCCCCCAAAAGTACTAGAATCTGTACTTTACAAAGAAAGCGTAATCCCAAATATGTTACATTTGACCACTTTCTAAATGGCATTGTGTAATCAATATGTCAACTAGGTTCAAAAACTTGCAATCACTGCGGTCACCATTCTTCTGTGTCCGATCACTTCACCAATTAAAATCATCATAGGATGACTGGACAAATTCTAACTAACAATCCCCATAGAGGCTCTACACGCAGATCACAGATTCAACCAAATTTGACAATGTGTCATTCTCCTCACTGAGTAAGTGACATGAAGCTTATTTAATTTGGTTATAATTTATATCAGTGTATAAAATAGTTTTGAAATGTGGTCTGTCCAAGGACTGGCAGTCCAAAAAAGTGACCAGTCCTGAACAAACACAGCCAGTCCCAAAAACTAAAACAATGAAAAATAAATCAACAAATGTTGAAACTAAAACGAGATGTTCAACACAAAGTTCAAACTAAGTTAAGTATATTTTTCAAATATTTCCCCCAACCATCCAGCTCAAGTTTTACAGCAATAATTCAATGGAAGTGGAGGTGAGGTGAGGTGAGGTGAGGTGAAATTGAGTTTAACATCATGCTTGAGAATATTTCGCTCATATGACGTCACGTGCATGCGTGTGTTTGTGTATGTGCGGCTGCTTGTACTAGCCCAGACTGAAGCTGGTTTTATAGTGCTAGCCCACTGAGATACCATGCTGCAGTGAAGCATGAATGCCCCACTCAGACACATTATACTGATTTCAAGCCGACCAGTCCTTGTTGTACCCATTAATGCCGAGCACCAGGCAGGGACCAACAAGTACCATATTTTAATGTCTTTTGGTATGACGCGGTCGGGGATCGAACCCGCGACCTTCCGCATAATTCAATGGAACTGTTTAGAGCATGGTGTCAATTTGTGGCATTAGAAATATGCATGTTATTGTTACTTACTTGCAGGAGGGTCTCTGGTGTTGAGTCAGAGTGTCTGATTGGTGCGTCCTTGTGCCCATCTGAAAACAACAATATATCACACCATACAGGAATGCATACAATATCAGTTCATAAAAATGTTATAAAATAAAACAAACAAAACGTTCACTATGATAGTCTTGGATATTCACTGAAACATAATCTGGTGAACTGGGATTTGAACCACGCTTGCTGGGTTCCGGCAGTCCCAAGGGGAAAACTCTGGAACAGGAATTGTGACACCCTTGACTACTGAGCCCATCCCAAGAAACAATTTAATTTACGTAAAATTGCGTAAGTCAGCTAAATGTGCTAAGAAAACCAGGTAAAAGACTGTACCATGTTTTTTCATTGGCTTTTACGACAAAACATGTACAATGTTCAAGGAGACATTTTTTTAACTACTGTGATTACAGTCTGTTCTGTATAACTGTTTTAAATTATATTTGTATGCAATTCAATATTAACTGGGTAATTGTAATTTTTGTTGCATATTACACACAAATACACAGCTAATCTGCAGCTTTCCTTGGCAGGGCTCCAGATAATTTTTCAACATCAGGAGTACGTACTACTCCTTTTTTTTTAATTTTAATACTGGAAAACCGTAAGAGTACATTTAGAGTACTTAATGGGATTTAATGGAGTATCAGTAATCCGTGTGTTTCGTTTCATATATGCAACATTGCAATAATCAATAATACAATACTTTATCAGATAAATACGTCTGTAAATGATTCTAAGACCGTACACCATAGCTGTGGTGCGTATCTGTTACATTTTCTAAATTATTTCCTACCGTATCGTGCTTATTTTATATCTGTACATACGCCGATACGACCCTTATCTGGAGACCTGATTGGTAATAGTCTGTAATGTTGCACCCCTATAGCAAACACTGCACTTTGGTCTAAATGAGTGAGTGAGTGAATATGGTTTTACGCTTTTAGCAATATTCCAGCAATATAACGGCGGGGACACCAGAAATGGGCTTTGCACTTTGTACCCATGTTGGTCTAAATGATTAAATCAGTAAAAAAATATCATTCAGTTTTGTTTTGTTTTATTTTGAACACTTAAATCAGCATTATTCCAACTATGAGAACTCTGCTTGTAAATAATTAAGCCTGGACCAGACAATCCAGTGATTGATATTATCATCGCCATCAGCCATCACCAATGAGACAAAAATCACCGACCACATCATTCATGTGGCTCCCCATGGTGGCCAGCACTGGTTGCTAGGGACTTATGCTAACCTGGAAACCCAACAGGGCATCCACATTAGCTAAAGTCACTGGTTTATCTTGCTTGGCCAGGGTCTGATGTTCAGGAATAGATGGTCGTGATCAGGCCTTATCTCACGTCTGTTGTGGCCACCTACTTCTCACGGCTTTGTTGATATAGATTTCAATTTCTGTTTTTTAACTGAATCTAATTGGGCTCCTTGTGTTTCCAAACAGACTGACATGAAATTACATATATCAACACCCAAAAATACAACTGAATTCTAGCTATCAGCACTACAAACATGCTTTTTCCATCCTGACAAAATTTGGTTGACATCGACAAACAGGTTTAAACAGGACTGTTTTGACATTTCAAAGTCACAAAGTTCTTATGATGTGATACATGTGGTCTCACCTTAGGCAAGTGAGTTTGTTCAAAATTGCCTCTGTTCACCCAGCAGAAAATGGGTACCCGGTTGGATAAAGTCATGTGACTATAACCTTCTAGCACCTAACAGGCAGCTTGGGTTATCCGGGGTAATAATGATCAGGGTGTTAGCGGTTTGAACATGCTTTGTTGCGTTGAGATTAGCGCATTATAAGACTTCTCATTATTATTATTATTATTATTATTATGCATGATAAATCTCTATAACTCACAACAAATTCCAAAAATAAAATGACAAAACTGAGGAATAAAATGTCACCAAATATGGACATCTGAAATTTAAAAACAATGACCAGCCTTGACATGCAGCATGTGCAGAGAAATGTTTATCTTTTCTGACTTGCCACAAACTAAACCTAGCTTCAAGACAAATGTTATGCAAATACATTATGGCACTGTGATTACATTATGCAAGAGTGTGTGTGTGTTTGGTATATGAGTGAGTGAGTTTAGTTTACTTCCCTTTTAGCAATATTCCAGCAATATCACGGCAGGGGACACCAGAAAGTTTGAAATGTGACAGTGCACTCAGCTCTCTTCAAGATATATACCAGGGGCCTGTACATAATGAAGTTCAGATCAAACGATATGTGAATAATATTGTGGGAATTAATCTACACGATCAGGATACTTCGACACGTGATCAACTAAGTGACTGCCTGATCACTAGGGCTGCACAATATAACAGGTTTACCAGTATTTACCTGTTCAGACACGAAAACGATACGTATTACGATATGCTGATCGAAAACCAGTATTTTGACTTTCATTCGGAAACTTTGTAACACTCGGAAATCTTCGGATATTTCCTTGTTTCATTTGTGCCAAATATTATTTACATTTTTATTTTGTCATGATTAAAAGTTTTTATTAAAGCTTAATCAAGCATAGTGATTTTGTTGTGTTCATGCTTTATAAATCAAGCATTAACTCGATTATACGTAGTTTTTTGTTCAAAAATACTTTTTGCAATATATTGCAATACATATCGCAATATATGCTCTCGCATAGTGGTGTTCCGATGATCGATCATAATCGAAAATTGATTGGTTACCCTTTTCCGACGCGACAATCGATTGCAAAATTTCATAATCGATTGTCGCTAATAATTTTTACGAAAACAGTAATGAATACCCAACTTAGACCACAAGACAACTGGCAGTTACAAATGATTACAACTTCGGTCCGCATTATTCACAAAATTCACAATCATATTGCGTCTACTTACGCCTTGAAATGAAGTGAAGTTGACTGAAAATGGATACACAGTGTATATATTTTGTTTCGCTTTAATGTCATATTTATTGTAGCTGTCGATCACAACAAACTGGCATGCACACCAAGAAATGATGACTTGCATGTTTACTCCTCATTCCATGAGCGCATAACTGCTGCTTAGCTGCTTACCTTGTTCATGACGGACGATTCTAAATACATAATAACCCAGCTGCAGAATATAAAAATAAAACAAAAGGAACAAAAAGTCTAAATAAATAATGATCTGCCAGTAATGTGTTAAGATAAATGTTTAAGTTTTGGTGAAATCATAATTGTTGTTACTTTACGCTACCAAACAAAATGGCGGCTGACGAATCGGGTTGATGTCGATGAAATATTCAACTACCTCCTTATGGAAAGGCAGATCCAACGCTTGGAAGTGTTTCGATTTTGGAAGAAATGTCAGGGGTCCCTAACGAAGGAAAAACTTGACATGTCAAAGGCATTTGTCGATTTGTTTTAAAGGAATACGCAAACAAAGTATCACCCATAATTTCGTGATACTATCAAGTGAATGGTCTAATAGAAAAGTATCATCATGTTATATGCGCATGATATGAATCTGTCCATACTCTTAAGTCTATTACTATCAGTACGAAATTTGAAACTACACAATATATACAAACAAATTAAAACGTTATTGAAAACGAATGACATGTAGGCCTTGTGACATGAATTATCGTAAATCAGGTTAAAACTTGAGTACCCTTTTACTTTGCTATGTTAGAGTCAATTTTGGACATATATCTACTTGCAAACATAAAATATATGAAATAAATCCTGAAAGTTGATTTCATAAATGATAAGAGATTATTTATTTGTCTAAATCAAGAACATAATTGATATTTGTCTTGTAATTTAGCTCTATCGAAAATATATGTTTGTGTCTATATATTTCAATTTCAATGAATTTTCTTCCACTTTCAGAGAATTTCTAGTGAAACGATTTACGTGAGTTTAGGCTAAAATTTGTAGTCACTAGTATGATAAAATTGTTGAGGTTTGCATCTCTGGCATTGATGGTAAATAAAAATAAACCATAAAAAGAACAAATTTTTTTCTCTTCTTTTGTTCAAATTCAACCATCTGTGTCTGAACTGAACTTGCTTACCTTTAGGAGTCTGAGACAATACCAAACACATGGTCTTGTGTAACATGTTTTATTCAGAGGTTATTCTTGTCATTTCATTTAACCGATTATTAACCGATGATTGATCGGTTGAGCCTATCCGATTGTAACCGATGATCGATTATGAAATCACAACCGATTCCCAACACTACTCTTGCATCGCAATATATCGCGATGTGAAAATTCTCTGCAATACCCACCCGTACTGATCACCCGATCCATTAAGTCATCTCTTACAACCAGCAAAGACTGTTCGGGGACCAGTTCTTATCCAGAATTCCTTGGATGAACACACTGTGAGCAACTTAGTGGAGTTTATAAGTACATAGGTGTATCTAAGGGCTGAATAATTGTCTCCCATTAATGATTGAGAGTGAAACATGGGGTGCTCGGGGCTATGATGACTGTAACACTGATATTCTAACATGGACTTAGTGAGTGAGTGAGTGAGTTGGGTTTTCGCCACTTTTAGCAATAATCCAGTAATATCATGGCGGGGGACACCATAAATGGGCTTCACACAGTGTGCCCATGTGCGGATTCGAACTTTGATCGTCAGCGTGACGAGCCGACGCTTTAACCATAAGCTACCCCACCGCCCCAACATGGACTTAGGATTTCGCAGCACTAAAATAGCTCTGTTGAAGAAGCTCAGCGCATATCAGTGTAGTCTCTTCAGACTAACAAATATGAAGTGATTAACGAAACCGAAGAGTTTGGTTTTACACTGCTATTAGCAATATTCCACCAACTACCGTATATGACCGTCTATAAGCCGATCCCATGGATAAGCCGACCCCCAAACTTGACCCTCAAAATCAGTGTCAAAATCATATCTCTCATGGATAGGCCGACCCCCCGCGATGGGTCGCGGCCAACAGAGACCAGAGTACCCGGTAAGTATGTTCCATCAATGACGAGACACCATTACGAGAATATTACATAATAAAGATTACCGGTGTTTGTTTACCTTTTTTTAACGATCACTGCTTGCATCAACAACGAGACGCCATTTGGAAAGTGGATATACAGCGTAAGTGTTGGTGAGAATATTACATAATAAAGATTACATTTCTGCAAGAGAGTTCTGAGATTTTCACAAGTCATCGGCCGTAAACCCATCAAATTCCGTGTCACTGTCCTCCTCATACTGTAAGTCGATCCACATTATTCAAAGAATTCACTGTCATATATATTGTGTCTACTCACGGATCGAAACGAAGTGTAGTTGACAGAAAATGCATAATATATTTTGCTTCTCTAAATATAATATTTATTGTAGCAACAAACTGGCTTGCTTATTTTACCCCATTCAACAATCACAAACTGATTACTTTCTGCTCCATGTCACGTGCTTACCACGCTCATGATGGTCCAGATAACCTTAGTGTTGATTATATATTTTTACATAAAAACTATTACACAATGCTAGGATATATTTCTTTAGGTTAAATAATAGTATTCAATCAATAGAATTCATCCCGCTATATTATTGTGCATGTTCGAACTTGTTCAAGGGAAACGCGGTGCACAGCTGATTGCTATTCCTCGCTTTGTGTATTAGACAAACACGACGGTAATCTTAATTAATTTATAGAGCAAAAACTGTAACTAAAATTACATAATGCTAGGATATATTTCTTTGGGTTAAATAACGGTATTCTGTATTATATTTTACTGATGACTGCGCCAGAATTCGGCCCCGCTATATTATTGTGCATGTTTGAACTTGTTCGGGAAACGTGTGCACAGCTGATTGCTATTTCCGGCTTTGTGTAATGCAGAGACAAACACGCACAGTAATCTTAATCCCTGCAAATAAAACAATGCCCAGCAAATCAACTTATAACTTAAATGGTAATTAATCTTGTCTAGTGATGTTTAATTGCAAATTTGACGCCTCTACTGACAAAGTCGCCTTCTGTTGTTAGTTCAAGCGTAAGTGATACACCTCTTCTACAGATGTTGTTTTCTTTACCCCTGGAAAAAAGTTTGACATTAATGAAAGTGTAACTTGGGGCATGGATAAGACTAACATGGACTTTCTACAGACTGCTTTTTTGGTCCTCAGTGTAAATTCAGACTAACAAATATGAAGTGTTTATAGACGGTCATATACGGTATATATCACAGGGACACCAGAAATGGGCTTCACACATTGTACCCTAGAGTTGAATCAAACCTTGTTTTCCTCATGACAAGCAAGTGCTTATCTATGCCACCCAATCTGCCTGTTTCGGTTATAAAGCCTGAAGAGTATGTTGTTTTAACACAGCAACATTCCAGCCAACATAGCCACCTGTAACTAATTTTGTCAGGACCAGAACTTGTGTTGGGAATCGGAAACCAAATCCTCTATCGATTATCGGAGGACTTGTGGTGAACGATTATCGACTATAATCGAAATATATACATTTTTAATGTAATCACCAATTTTAAGGGTTTTTCCCCAGTTTTTTCTAATAACATTTTTTTTATAACTAATACTGTCATGCAATGAAATGCACGCATGCAAGTAAGACACTGGAATTGTAATTAAACAATAAAAGTGGTTAAAATTTTACAATGCGCATAGCTTTACGCTATTGAGCGCATGTTTGTTCGTGAATATTCATCAAATTAAATGGTTAGTATACTTAATTCAAGGGGTTATACAAAAACAACAAAATTCCAATTAATGATAATCATCTTGATAATCATCTTTGATCCTTCTTTCGACCGATTTTCGATTTTTTTCGATCATCGGAACACCACTAACCAGAACACTGAATGATCAACGTCCAAAACCTCTGGGATATGATGACACACCGTCAACAAGGTCAGGAAGTCTGTCCATTGGACCCATACAGTCACCCTTTACAGAATAGGTTGTCAGGAATACACTACCTCAGAATATTATCCTGAAGTGACCTCTGGGATATGATGACACAGTCAGCAAGGTCAGGAAGTCTGTCCATTGGACCCATACAGTCACCCTTTTACAGAATAGGTTGTCAGGAATACACTACCTCAGAATATTATCCCGAAGTGACCTCTGGGATATGATGACACAGTCAACAAGGTCAGGAAGTCTGTCCATTGGACCCATACAGTCACCCTTTACAGAATAGGTTGTCAGGAATACACTACCTAAGAATATTATGCTGAAGTGACCTTCTGGGATATGATGACACAGTCATCAAGGACAGGAAGTCTGTCCATTGGACCCATACAGTCACCCTTTACAGAATAGGTTGTCAGGAATACACTACCTCAGAATATTATGCTGAAGTGACCTCTGGGATATGATGACACAGTCATCAAGGACAGGAAGTCTGTCCATTGGACCCATACAGTCACCCTTTACAGAATAGGTTGTCAGGAATACACTACCTCAGAATATTATGCTGAAGTGACCTCTGGGATATGATGACACAGTCAGCAAGGTCAGGAAGTCTGTCCATTGGACCCATACAGTCACCCTTTACAGAATAGGTTGTCAGGAATACACTACCTCAGAATATTATCCCGAAGTGACCTCTGGGATATGATGACACAGTCAACAAGGTCAGGAAGTCTGTCCATTGGACCCATACAGTCACCCTTTACAGAATAGGTTGTCAGGAATACACTACCTCAGAATATTATCCTGAAGTGACCTCTGGGATATGATGACACAGACAGCTAGGTCAGGAAGTCTGTCCATTGGACCCATACAGTCACCCTTTACAGAATAGGTTGTCAGGAATACACTACCTCAGAATATTATCGCGAAGTGACCTCTGGAATATGATGACACAGTCAACAAGGTCAGGAAGTCTGTCCATTGGACCCATACAGTCACCCTTTACACAGAGAATAGGTTGTCAGGAATACACTACCTCAGAATATCATCCTGAAGTGACCTCTGGGATATGATGACGGTCAACAAGGTCAGGGAGTCTGTCCACTGGACCCATACAGTCACCTTTTACAGAATAGGTTGTCAGGAATACACTACCTCAGAATATTATCGCGAAGTGACCTCTGGGATATGATGACACACGGACAGCTAGGTCAGGAAGTCTGTCCATTGGACCCATACAGTCACCCTTACCAGAATAGGTTGTCAGGAATACACTACCTCAGAATATTATGCTGAAATGATGCAGTCAATGATCCCTTTGGTGAAACCCATGGACGAGCATGGATGTGTGCTGTCATAGTGAGGAACTAAATTAGCACCACCAATCAGCAGATCCTGGCATAACAAGGGAATACAACCATGCACAGTAACATGTCACAAACTAGTAGGTGATAGTTAGCTGACCTAACTGACCTGAATCTGACCTTGACAGAATTACACCTAAAAAATTATGAATAAAAGATAACATGTGGGATGGACTGGCTTACGTTTGTTGAACTGAATGAATAAGTGGGAGATAACTCCTGTGTTTCTCAAATTTTATGTTGTCTAACCATGGATTTGATACCTCTTGTTTCAATTTGGAAGCCCGCACTTAAGATTGACAAATGTAGGGAATACATAATAGGCTGGGGAAATCTGGAGAAAATGACAAATGCACCCCCCTAGAGGTTTACAATAAGTGTTAGGAATTTGTGACTCTTGTATTGCACTTTATTGATAGGATGATTCCTTTACTATGATCAGGGGGAAATAACTTTTAAAAATCGCCTGAGTGTACAGTCAGTGTTTTTATGTTGGGCAATGATAATTTGTATGTCCACTATACCAGCTGTTTCCAGTTGATTTTTACCAATGAATTAATTACATTGTTTAGTCAACTGACACCGTACAAGTGATATCGGCCAAGTATAGTGGAAAAATTATCAGGGCAAGTGATTTTTACATGTGCCATTTCAGTACTTTCAGTAATGGAAACAATTTTAAAGTTATTTAAACACCCTAAAGTGGGTAATCAATACAATTACATTTATTACTTTCATAAAGCAATGGAAACTGCCAAGTTACATTTATTAAAGGGATACATAAAGTATGTTATCAAGACTTACAGTTCTCAGACTTCAGTTTCATGGTTTGTCTGGTTTGTTTGTTGTTTATTGCCAGTATTCCAGCTATATGGCTGCAGTCCGTAAATAATTGAGTCTGGACCAGACAATCTAGTGATCAACAGCATATGCATCGATCTACGCATTTGGGATACAATGACATGTGTTGACCAAGTCAGCGAGTCTGACCACCCGATCCTGTTAGTCAGCCTCTTACAAGCATGGGTTGCTGAAGACCAAATCGAAATCAACTGACAGGTCTCATTCTCCCTTACAAGAGTCTTATAGATGTAGGAATCAAACATGGTCACGTGATCTCTATCGCAGTACTCACCAAGTTCGTACAGGCCACCGTCCTGATGGATGAAGGCAACAAAGTGGGGGTTCACCTCATCCTCTCTTGATGGAGCCTACAAAACACATGTCACATTGAAGTACACAGAAAAGAGTCACGTTTAACTCCTCATTGGACAATAATTCAGTTATATCACAGCAGTGAGAGAGTCTGGTTTAACTCCCCTTGGACAATAATTCAGTTATATCACAGCAGTGAGTGAGTCAGGTTTAACTCCCCCTTGGACAATAATTCAGTTATATCACAGCAGTGAGTGAGTCAGGTTTAACTCCCCTTGGACAATAATTCAGTTATATCACAGCAGTGAGTGAGTGAGTGGGGTTTAACTCCCCTTGGACAATAATTCAGTTATATCACAGCATGAGAGAGTCAGGTTTAACTCCCTTGGACAATAATTCAGTTATATCACAGGCAGTGAGTGTAATTTGGACCTTTAACTCCTTGTTGACAATAATTCAACATGGTACAGCAGTGAGGGAGTCAGGTTTAATTCTAGACAGAAACACATGTGACCAATCATTATGAATCTCCATACATATTGTTGGTCATGTGACTCAACATACTTTAACTCCCTTGGACAATAATTCAATTATATCACAGCAGTGAGGGAGTCAGGTTTAACTACCCCTTGGACAATAATTCAGTTATATCACAGCAGTGAGTGAGTCAGGTTTAACTCCCCTTGGACAATAATTCAGTTATATCACAGCAGTGAGTGAGTCAGGTTTAACTCCCCCTTGGACAATAATTCAGTTATATCACAGCATGTCAGCTAGGAGGAAAATCCAAAGTGATGCACGCCTCAGAAATAAACCACTGTATACCACTTTGGTAAAATGTTAGATCAGGGCTTTTTGCTAACAAACCCAGAAACATGACGAGGGTGACTCTTAGATTCAAACCCAGGACTGTGTTTCTGGCAAGTTAAAGGAACCATCTTTGCATCGCGAATCAGCAAACCTTTGACTATGCCATGCATAAAGAACAGAGAAAAAATTATCAATTGTAAATGTTTAAAACCTGCATTTATAATTTTAACATATAAATTACATTTAAATATTTGTTCTAATAAATTTATGCTGTTTCACGCTGTCGTCAGCAACATCAAAAGTAGACTGTGGCAGTCTGTGATCATCAATAATTCATCAGAGGGAGAGCAATAATTTCTATTGCATTAATATTTCAGAAAAACTAATGGAAATGGAAATGTCCTCTTACAACCATCATGCCTAACACTAATGCTCAAGGTCATGGCTGTTCCAGTGTGGGCCATTTCAAAAGCAACGTAACAGTTTTTATACCAGCTGGAAACCAAGGACTTGGTTTGATTGCCAAGAGACTATATTATCAAAACTTATATTTGTTCCATCTACAGCTAAACATAGTCTTTAATCTCTACCACTTGATCTCTGAATTTTGTTTTTGACACTTTATTACTAGATATTAAAAAACTCCACTAATTTTCTAAGCAAAGAAAGCAGTTACCTGTGATTACATAATACCTATTTTTAAAGAAATACCTGATGAAATTTGTTTTCCCTCTTAATTTGACACTCTTTATAAACAATTATCCTTTTGTTTCGAGAAATGTTCAAAATATAAAGAATTCCAAAAGTAGCGAAATGTAGCTTACAGTTTCCAAAATCAAAGCGAATGATGTTTGTTTGAATGTCATAAGATCATCATGAGGTAGATACAGCGAAACATAAGTGTCCATCACAACCAGGTAAGACTCATTGCACTTTCCTATATAATACATGTAATACATGGTACTGTAAAAGATATAAACATTCTACACTTAAAACAAAAATAGCATCAGTAGAAGTGTATACAGTTGTCCTGTTTTGAGCCCACTACAGGGACACCTGGGGATATTTTATGAGTGCTTCATTCAGTGTGATCTCCACACCAATGCTTCTGCAAACCTCATTCAATTGACATTTATAGTCTGTTTGCAGTGAAAACATACCGGTGAATTTCACTTTAAATAAAAATGTAAATCAAATAAAGTGAAATTAAGATTGCAATCTTCATTATTTTGTATTACAGGGGGGTATGCACATTAAATGAAACACTGAGGACAAGTAGGGTTGGTCTAAGTTATCGCTCATCACGTACCGCACGTGCTTTTGTTTCAGTGTTCCAACTACTGCACTTATCCCCTTGTAATACAAACCAATAATAGCTATTTGTATCTATGATCGTTTGCTAAACAACATTTATCCTAATTTGAATAAAATTTTGAGATTTAACTGTTCAATTGGCAAGGTAAATTCGCAATCTTAATTTCACGTTATTTGATTTACTTTTTTGTTTAAAGTGAAATTTATCGGTACGTTTTCACTGCAAACAGCCTATAACATCACCTTTAGCAGAAAATTAGTTTATGAAGAGTTGGCTTTTTTCTACTATAGATAGCAAAGCTTCACTAACTGATGTATGTCCACTGCCCAAGTCTAACGGATCAATATATTATTCTCTATTTTATGGGTAATGTGTAAGCCATGACACTCTACAAAATGTTTTTTGAAAGCTTTACATTTATACAAATGATTACGGGTCAATTTGACATAATTTCAGAACTATTTTCACACTGCAGCTGGAAAAACTGAAACAATAACTAAGAGAGGTAATTTGTGTCAATGATGAATTTTTCAGAACCAGGCAAGACCCAATAAAGCTGACATCCGCACCCATATTTCTTGGCAGAGCATTTTCAGCATGGACAAGTGAATGAGTTTGGTTTGAACACTATTTTCAGTTACATCATGGTGTGTCAGCAAAAAGTTAAAAGTAATACAGGTGGGACATTTCCCACACTGGATAAACCCATGGAGCCAAGATATGGAGCTGGAACACATAAACATGATCAGGGCAAACAGAGAATTTAACCCACGGCCTTAGGTACCCAAGGGAAGCAACTCTTGTCAGTGAATTGTGGCACCTTTGTCAACTGGACCACCTTTGCCAGGTTTCTATTAAGCATGAGGTACGAGAATGCTTTCAAACAGATGTGCAGGGAACTCTTAGCAACATCGTAACAAATCACTGAAAAGGGGTTTCAAATATTGTACTCGTATACCGTGAACCCATGCAGTATGTTTTAAAAATGAAATGTAAAACATACTTTTGGAGAGACTATATTAGTGGGTTGGTGTGAAGACAAACCCTTACAACCTTCAAAATAGAATACAAAAATAGTTTCTTTACCTGTGTTTGGCCTTCCTGTGCACTCTCCTCGTGAATATTCCCCATATTCTGAAAGGAAAACGGTAAACTTTATTTCTTACGACCATGGTTATACTGAACTGACTGACAGAGAAAACTGACTATTTCGGTCGCAACCAGTTACTAGATTTTCCAGCCAATCTGTGTAACAATATACGGTCATAACAAATTCAAATTATAGTCTGTTTGCAGTGAAAACGTTCCGATGAATTTCACTTTAAACAAAAACGTAAATCAAATAAAGTGAAATTAGAAGTACGAATCCTCATGATTTTACCTTGCCAATTGAACATTTAAATCCCAGAATTTTATTCAACTTAGGATAAAAGTTGTTTAACAAACGATCATAGTTTCAAATCACTATTGTTGGTTTGTATTACAAGGGGGCATGCACATTAAATGAAACACCGAGAGTAGGGTTGGTCTAAGTTAACGCTCATCACGTACCGCACGTGCATTTGTATCACTGTTCCAATTACTGCGTTTACTCCCTTGTAATACAAACCAATAATAGCGATTTGAATCTATGATTGTCTGTTAAACAACTTTTATCCAGAGTTGAATAAAATTCTGAAATTTATATGTTTAATTGGCAAGATAAAATTATGAGGATTCGCAAACTTAATTTCACTTTATTTGATTTACTTTTCTGTTTAAAGTGAAATTCATCGGTACGTTTTCACTGCAAACAGACTATAATGGTCCCTTTGTGAGATCCAGATCGTGTGAGAGTGAGAGAGTGAGGTTTTACGCCCCTTTTAGCAATATTCCAGCAATATCACGACGGGACACCAGAAACAGCCTTTACACACTGTACCCATGTGGGGACTTGAACCCAGTTCTTCAGCGTGATGAGAGGACGCTTTAACCATTAGGCTACCCCACTGCCACTGAGGTCATAAGAACCATGGTTTCATGTACATTCGTGGTAAATTATCATTAACCATTCACTCATGATTGTGTTTACGTCCAAACCTAATAATCTTGAATAACATTCACAATGTAAGGTAAGGTCCATATCTAAGTCAAATCAGTACATTTTAATACTTAAACAGAGTACTGCGCCCACGTGTCAACCAAGTCAGCGAGTCTGACCACCGGATCCTGTAAGTAGCCTCAACAACAAGAATGGTTTGCTGAATACCAATTCTCATCCACGTGTTCACAGGACCAGAGAGACAGAGGAACAGATTTTGTGCATCTTGTTTAAGTCAGTCAACAAAACCACAGTATCCTTTAACCAGTTTTACCAAAGATACATGTACAGACAACCTATTCTGAACTCTTATCCCACTAGGGGAAGAATGGAAGGAAAATGACAACTTACAGAATCTTTCTCCAAAAGCTTGCCCTCTCCTCTGGGCTCAAGCTCTTGGTACTCTCCAGAAACTTGGTGAAATATTTGCCATCTGTAAAAAACATGATCTCATTTGTCACACCTGTAACACGTTAGTCCAATTAATGCATGCTTTGGTCTGAATCGGTAATACCACAGTAAGGCATTCTTACCAGACAACAGAAAACAAACCTAGAGTTACTTCCCCTAGACCTATTCCATCCGTAAAATATTGTGAATGTCCGCAGAGGGGCATCTTACTTCATTAATTCGCGATACAAAATTGCAGTTGGTATGTTGAAGACAGTACATCAATTTGAGCGAGAACACAAGACAGATGCCTTACACGTTATTGAGGGCCATTTAATAAAGTACAACAGGTCTCAGTCAGATTCTGACAGTCATGCTGAGGTAGGGCTGATTTCTATGTTTAAAGCATGCCATCAAGTACTGACCATCAAACTCAATCTTGTCCTTATTATTGGCCAGGGCATGTACAAGAGCAATGGTTCCACAGGCATTTCGGATAGTCTGTTTGATGAAGTAGGATTTCTCTAGAACACTTGTCTCCACATCTCCAATTGGGTTGCCCTCTACCTGGAAAAGAGTATCTGTATGTGTCCACTGAAACCTTGTTTGTACGGATCCTGTTAAACCAGAAATTCATCATTCTGGACGATCTTTTGGGGAAAGTAGTACAAACTTATATGGACATTACCACACCTGATAATCTGGATGATTTCAGTAACTGTAGTATTGAACCAACCTCCAGATTAGCAGCATGTCTGATTAAAATATGTAAAATCAGTCCCCACCTAAAATTTATTTTGAATTACTGACATACAAACACACATAAAAACTTACAAATAAATTATCATAGGAACATTCCGAAGAAATACACAATGTACTCTTTACAACCTTGTTTCTGTTCTGTGTTTCACAGGCATCACAAATGAACTCAACAATACTGCATGAAAAAGATGCGGTGTCCTGCCAAGTGTTTATAATACATGTATATCGCTGCTGTGAGTTTGGGACACGTGCCACATGTTTCTCAATAACCAGCATTTCTTTGGTCAAACGTTCATGTGCAAAGGTGGGAAAAAAGATCAAAACAGACATTTCACATAATTATTCCACCCTATATGAAACGTTCACATATATTTTAGGTTGTCTTAATTCTGCATTAACCTAATAAAAACAAAAAGAAATATTTTTATTATTTCTGGAAAGCAAGTCTCTAAACCAATGAAAATCGAAAATCATTTTTAATAACATTATTACCATAGAAATGAAAATGATATCCAAATTTTGCAGTATATTGGTATTTGTTAGATGCATTTCAAAACCTGATCAGAATATGTCAGTCTAAGCCTGAATCCCTGTCACAATACTGCAGGTGGTTGAGGGCACACAGCCTTTATGTTGACTATCATGCAACTGATTACACCAAAATCAATACATTGGGGTCACGGCGACCCGAGTGACATTCTCACATTCCAAGCTTCTCTGGATATGATATGAGTGAGACTAGGCTGGAAATTGCGGTCAGGTAACATAGCTTTCTGAATCAGTAAAACTGACCATATCATATATGCAAAGGAAACATGATAAAATATGTTATACTAAACTAATACAGAACTTTCACTGAGAAAATATCCTAAGCAAAGTAAAATATTATTTCTAATTGCATATTTATCCTTCATGTGCTTTCAAAACCCTATCGAGAAAAAGGATAACAGTCAGCCGATTACAGCCCTTAACGACAAAAATCTAAAAATACATAATGAGAAGATTGGCTGGTTTGTTGTTTAAGTGAGTGAGTGAGTGAGTTTGGTTTTACGCCGCTTTTTGCAATATTCCAGCAATATCAAGGCGGGGGACACCACAATTGTTGTTTAAGGCCGCACGTAGCAATATTCCAGCTATATGGCGGCGGTCTGTAAAAAATTGAGTCTGGACCAGACAATCCAGTGATCAAAAGCATGAGCATCAATCTACGCAATTGGGATATGATGATGTGTGTCAACCAAGCCAGCATAATGAGAAGATGTCGGTAGACTGAAAAATGCTTTGGCACAAACTGTAGGTGAACAAATATCATTTAAATAACTATCATTCATAATTAAAATAACAAGCATTTCAAAATTACAGATGCTTGCACCACCGTAAGTAAGATTGGAGTTTATGTTAGTTATTATTATTTACTTAAAAGATCCCATGATGTTGTTTAAACATGACAAAGCAGAGTCCCTGTTCTAACTACTAAGAGTGAGTGAGTTTAATTTTATGCCGCTTTTAGCAATATTCCAGCAATATCATGGCGGGGGACACCAGAACCATGTGGAGAATTGAACCCGGGTCTTCAGTGCAATGAGCGAACGCTTTAACCACCAGGCTACCTCACTGACCCCTCAAACTATTAAGAAGTATTTGTTATTATCCTGTCATGACATACCTTCTCTGTGAGAGGATACAACAGCATGATGGCCACCACTGGCTGGGGTACCATGGCGAGGAGGTCATCGTCCAACCCAAACACATCCACAAACTGCCACTTACTTGGGGCTCCGAGGTCATGTATATACTGAAAGATAGGAGAGTCTGGAGGGTGATTGTATGAACAGATAGTGTTGTAAACAACATCTAGCTGTATATCATAGCAACTAGTGGAAAAGATATCACAGTCCGATAAATAAAGTGAGTGAGCTAAAGTTGTAACTATTCAAATCAAAGACCACCTGACTCAGTGGAGTCACAGGGTTTGTGAACCTATTCTAATTTGTGTCCCTCTGAGGCGTGGCTATGTTAGAATTCAATGATCCTTGCTTCTGAGGACTTCTGAGGCCAAACCAATGAACAATAGAGTGAATGGAGCTGAGCAGAGCGAGGGAGCCAGCAAGCATTGCTGCAGGGCTTCAGTAAGTGAGTGAGTTTAGTTTTACGCCGCACTCAGCAATATTCCAGCTATATGGTGGCGGTCTGTAAATAATTGAGTCTGGACCAGACAATCCAGTGATCAACAGCATGAGCATCGATCTGGGGAACCAATGACGTGTCAACCAAGCCAGCGAGCCTGACCACCTGATCCCATTAGTCGCCTCTTACGACAAGCACGGGTCACTGAAGGTACATTCAAACCCGGACCTTCACGGGTTGCAGGGCTTGAGATAAAGTCACAATTATCAAAATAATTTTGAGTTGTTTACATAAAAAATGCATTAAGACACCAAGATCTGAGAGTACAACACTCTGCATTATCCCCTTACTCAGCCTTTTCATTTTGTGTACAAATATTTCTCTACAAAAATGAATACTTTTAATTCATGTTTAAAGATATAAAACATAAATTAAGAAATGAACTTTGGGCTACACCTATGCGCAGTGCAATCAATACTTTTGCCCTGATGCTGTTGTAGTTTAAGCACAAGGACACTTTTCATCATTCAACAAAAGCATCTTAGTATTACTTTGTAAAAATAGTAAAAAATTTGAACTTGCATTATTATGTTTGCACTTAAAGCTTGAAAGTGAAGCGACGCTGGCAATGAGTGAGTGAGTGGTGTGTGTTGGTTTTTACGTCGCTTTTAGCATATACCAGCAATATCATGGCAGGGTACACCAGAAATGGACTTCAGACATTGTACCCATGTGGGGAATCAAACCTAGGTTTTCGGCAGGATGTGCAAACACTTTTACCACAAGGCTACCCCAGAACCTCCTGGCAATCAGCATTCCAAGACAGTATCATATATGTTGTTCATTATGTTGTGAGCAGGCTGTCAGTAAACTAACTTCAATGATGAATATTCAACTAGTACTTGGAGATTAGACTCATTATATCTGATTCATTGTAACAATAAGTATAGACCATGCTTATCATCAGTCATCATTCCTCACTGATCTGCCAGACAAATGTCATTGTCTCACAAATGGATTAGAAAAAAATCACAGAGAACTGATTAACCATATTAATCTAGACCTAAACCTAAAATGGACACCGAACTATTAGCAGATTGCTGAAGCGTTTTTTGTGGCAACTAATCATTATTTAACTCTGACAAATAGAAGATATATAGTATGCAAAGATGTAAAAAATATGTGGAACTTTTGTCATCGCAAAGTAATAGCTAGCAAATCGACTGAACATTATGCGGCACCATGAACATTTACAAATATGACACTTCACACCGTACTTGACGCCCACTTGGGTATATACGGATATCAAAGACTTTGCTTGTCATGATTTTTTTTTCTAAATCTGAGTCTCCACATTATCTTAGTCGAATGTTTACTGATAGCCCAGGTGCAGACATGCATTAGTTATGATAAGCATGATGTCGAACATTCTGCATCATCAGCCTCGGACTGAACCGGCTCGCCGCTGTCGTGTTGACATTTCAGTTGACACACCGACCGCGATTTCTCACCTTGTTCAGCACCTGAAAAAGACAAAAGACCGTGAATTGGTCGTTAGGAATAATTGTTCACATTAATGTGACATTTAAATAAATAAAGCGGTCGTCATGACATACATCGGGGTTAGACTCGAGCGGTACCCATCTCTGTTCAGCCATTTTGACGCTTGATTATGAAAACCACGTGCGCACATGGACGGTTCACTTCCGGGTTGCAATGTCAAAAAATATGTTCTATTTTCAACAAAACTGTTTCCTATCCGTGAAGCTCCTTTGGTGAACAAAAAGACTTATTTAGTATCTGAATCACTTTCCCACATGTATACAAATACAAATGTACGCAGACAAAATTTTAAAAAGGGGGGGGGGGGTTGCCGAGAGGAATTCTAATGGTTTGAGTTATGAAAATGTGTTTAGGCCATGTAACAGGAGATCTGCGAACTTTAAGATAACATGTGAAAAATACCATTTGATGTCAGGCCGAATCTCTTAGTATTAATTTACTGAAATAGCCATCGAGGATGCCTACGTGTATCCTTCTGCAAGTTCGAATAAATAATATATATATCATTATTATAATGGTGATAGTATATAATAATATAAATAATTATTATCCACCTCACCTACCCGGGGCGATGCCTGGTTTGAATTAATAGCACCCATAGAACCTTTGTCGTTGTAAATGGATCGGAGTTGGTTGCGATGTCATCGTTCCCCGAAGGTGGTCATGACATCAGCCACTGGTTTGTCTGGGCCAGATTACATTATTTACAGACCCAGTCGTACAGCTGGAATATAGCTGATTGTTACATTAAACAACATACAACCATTGTCATCATTATTAAATATCATTATGAGGATCATTGTTATTATTGTTGGTGTTCTTGATGATGATGAGTAACCCATGCTTGTCGTAAGAGGCGACGAACGGGATCGGGTGGTCAGGCTCACAGACTTGGTTGACACATGTCATCGGTTCCCAATCGCGTAGATCGATGCTCATGCTGTTGATCATTGGATTGTCTGGTCCAGACTCATTTATTGACAGACCGCCGCCATATAGCTGGAATATTGCTGAGTGCGGCGTAAAACTAAACTCACTCACTCACACTCACTGATGATGATGATGATGATGATGATGATGATGATGATGATTTTGCGTCACTCATTCCCTCTATGCTACGGAAACGAATAAATCCTTTTTGTTTAATTAGCCTCTGTTATTACCCTAACAGACACCTGCGACAATCCCATTATTTCTAAACACCTATCATAGTTAGGTAATAACGTATAATTGGATACTTATCTACTTACAGAACTGATGTGTGATAACGTGTACAATCTGATAGAGGGCTGAGCTAATTATATCACCGCTGTCCTTGAAAAGAGCCGAAACTGGACTTTAACAATAATATTCGTGTTTTTCGTTTTTGTTTTGTTGTTGTTTTTTGTGTTTTATTATATTTTCACTCAATAACATCACCTAATGCAATGACTGAGTATTCACAAATTATAATGATGGTCTCTTTAATTTGGCTCGCAATACTTGTTGTGAAAGATTTTCACCACTTTCGTTTGTGCAACCGTGTTGTCATCTTCTTCTTCATCGTCTTATAAGTCGCATGTATATTGTATATATGTAGGAATTTATAACTGATTGTTCATTTTTTTAAATCGTAGGTGCTTTAAACACCTATTGTGCCATTTGCAGGCATCGTCACCTGTGTGTGGATTTGCTGTCTCCATATTGGTAAACCTTGCTTGCTATGTATTTGTAACGCTAAAATATGTCGGTTAACCTTCCAACAGAACACCAATGTGGCTTTTTTTAAGTAGTTGTGCCGAAAGTGTAATACATTGACCTACCTTTTGTAAACAATTCCGGCAAAATTACAATCAATGTTTATTTGTGATAAAATCAGTTTCTTCAATGACGAAATGTCTTATTGTATTTAGCAGAGTATATGCGTCCATAAATCAATATTGTGTTATTGTGACGTTGGTGACGTCATGTCAAGTATGGCGGCTAAACAAAAGCGTGGAAGTTTGTGCAGACGAAAATAACCACAGAATATCAGAATTCGTCTACTCGGGAAGGTCGCAAGTTTCATGCTGTGACAACCGTTTCATACTATTCTGAAGATTATCGGAAAGATGTGAGAGAGAAGTGTTAACGACATTGAGCTTGCAGCCAGGCTTCTGGTTTGTTTACGATTTTGACTTCTGATTTAAAGCAGGTGCGTGTTCCGTTGATCAGCTGTTCAAGGCTGAGCGGTATGGAATCAGTAAAAGCCGACCCCGAGGTGAAGCAAGCGGCCAGTATGGCCGAAACGGGAGATGCATCAAGCAAAACTTTCAAGGTGGCGTATCTTGGGTCATCTTGCATGGATAGACGCCATACCCAGAGCGTTCAGCCGTGGGTTATGGCCGAGATTCGACGGCGAAAGGAGGGAGCGAGGGAGGTGACACTTGAGGTGTTGTCCCACAGTCTCAAAGCAACAGGTTGTGACGACATTGGAACTGATGTATTGTTTGAACACAAACTGCAGGAGTTGACCAGATTTGCTAAACTGCATCAGGAACCAAGATGTTTTGCTTATCTCTCTCGTCAACAGCTGAACAGTGATGACTTCGAATGTCATGTCTTCATGGCACATGAACCGGACACTGTGAGTACCTCATATTTTATTTCGAAAAATGCTTTAAAAAATACCCGCTGGCTATTAAACTGTAGAAAATGTCACAAGAGTTTGCCAGAACAAACTTTGTTAAGTTTAAGATGATAAATTCCACATCTTTATCTTTTTATGTAATGGGTTTTTTCTCCAGAGTCCCACTTGCCACTAATGTTTTTAGTTTGGAAGAATTATTAGATATTTTGTATAGAATATATAACTCTGTTAAACATTTACACAAACCATATCAATTTTATGATGGTAAAACCATCCATGTATAATAACCAATATGACATGTGGTCAGTTTTTCATGAAAAGCTTGTTTACGGCAAATTGGTTTATAGCTTTTTTATTCAGTAGCATGCAGCCTACCCATAGTACATTTGATCTAATGTTGGTAAACCATTCAGGCTTGAGTAAAGTTTATAACAATTAATTTCATGGAAAAAATAGGTTTTTAAGTGGTTCTTATTTGTAGACTTTTGCTACATATGAAATAATCACCTATTTTGCCTTTCGTCACTGTTTGTTGTATTCATGGATTCCAAGACGTGACTGCTGAAAAGCCTCACATGTATGTTGTAGGTTATATACGTTAAACTTCAAATTTGGTAATTATTAGCTTTTAAAATTATTGCCTTTGGAGATGTTTCGTTTAGTTTTGGAATAACATAATAAATCAGCAGTTATAGTCTGTTTGTTCTGACTCATCAATCATCATTTACTCTAATTGATGCAATTATCACTTCTGACATTTAACTGAGTCTGAGGCCAAGGATAAGCTGGTTGAGCTTCTAAGAGGAAGGGATGCTTGTTACTCACTGTTAGTGAGGTGAAATGGGCTTTTAACTGCATTCATGGCTACAGCACTTATGTAGAGACCATGCTTGTTGCAACATTGTGTTCCTGACACAGATTGTAGTCGATACAAACTATTTTACCTCCTGTCTCCTGACCCATGAAGATCTGGGTTAGAATTGGTCTTCAGCAAATCCATGTTTGTTCTAAGGGGCGACATGGGATCGGGTGATCAGATTCACTGACTTGGTTGATACATGTCATCGTCTCCCAAATGCATAGATCCATGCTCATGATGTCGATCACTGGGACAGACTATTTACCGATAGCCATGATATACCTGGAATATTGCTGAGTGCAGCGTTAAACAACAGACATACAAATAAACCACCTGTTGTCAGTCTTATCAACTCAAATACTTATCACTTTGAAATTATGCCCCCTCTCTTTTCCAGACATTGATGTATGGTACACCCATCTATTGTTTATTACCTCACAACAAAACAAATTCTTCTGTTGGGTTAGAATCCTGTTAACTTTATGCTTGATGTAAGTGACGACTAAATAGATTGGGTAGTCATTTGTAGTGAATTGGTTGATTGCATGTCATGGTACCCCGACAATATTGAACATTGTTAATAATATCAGTCACTGGTTTGAGTGGCCAAGACTTGTGTATTTACTTTGACATTGATCGAATATTGTTATACTTTTAACATGATCAATACTGACACTTAGTGTTTACCGGTACCTCCTATCAGTATCAGTTTCTGGTTCCATCTCTAACATAAAATTCTATTCTCACATAGCCATGACAATAATTATAATATCCATCATACCATTACTGGCTGAAAGCAGATGCATGGTAACCAATACACTAGCTATACAGATGATATAACTCTTTTATACTCCTCTGGGTCTGCATGGTGACAGAACACAACAATGTTACACGATATGATAGCCAACAGATGTCCTGGGTTAACAGATAACAACTCTCCGTATTCAGCTGGAAAACAAGGAAGAATATTGCCAGTGTTTATGTTTGTTGAGTTCCCCATGCCTGAGCAAGGCATGTTGAAAGTGTCCTGTACTTCGAGGAAGGTTGTAGAGACTGTGGGATAAGTGATCAACTCAAGCTTTTGGCTGTTGGAACAATGAAGGTAGAACAGTGGGCATTATACACAATGCTTTTCAGGGTGTGAAATGAGGTGCTATACGACATGTATGCAATATGCAATATACGGATGACAGTTTTCCTGTTTGATTATCACACTGTTTTTGTTTTGTTTAATGTGTAGGTTTTGTATTTTTCAATTAATAGAGTGTATTCTAAGTACTGTTCAATTCACAGTTAGTCATACAAGTACTGTGGAACCTTTACAAATAGTTACCTCAGCGGTGGTTAAAGTGTTAACTCATCAAGCGAAACGTTTTGGTATATAGGTACAATGTGCAAAGCCCATGCCTGGTTTCCTGTGATGATACTTGGATATTGTTAAAAGTGGTACAGGGCTCCAGATAATTTTTCAACATCAGAGTACGTACTCCTTATTTTTTCAATATAGGAGTACTGGAAAAACTTAAGAGTACATTTAGAGTACTGAATGGAATTTAATGGAGTATCAGTAATCTTGTGTTTCGTTTCATATATGCATCACATCATTGCTAGACTTATGTAAACAGGTCAATAAGCAATAAAACAATACTCTTTCAGATAAATACGTCTGTAAATGATGTTAAGACCGTACACCATTGTTGTGGAGCGTATCTGCTACGTTTCCTAAATTATTTCCTATCATATCGTGCATATTTGTATCCGTACATACGCCAATACTTCCTTTAGCTGGAGCCCTGGTGGTATAAAGCTGAACAATCTCACTAGGTAATCTTCAAAACAGAAACATGGCAATTACTTGACTTTTGCAGTATCAGACCAGTTTGGGGCACTGGATCTTTAGAAATCTCAAGCAGATATGACCCATATTATGATGAATTGGTAGTCAAAAAGGTCATATGATGCAGTTTTATGGTTATTTATGATAATGTATGAACTCATACAACAGCTGTTGAGAAATTTGATCATGTGACTATGAATTTGTCTCTTTAAAGGTTTTTAGAAGTAAACATTTGTTGTTTTGATTCAGCCATTTACTAATTAACTTACTTTGTGTTTAAGCAGTCACTGCTGGCAAAGCCGTTGGGCATGTACTGTGAAAACATATTCACTGACCAATTTGTACTAAACATGAATTTCACAGCCAAGGTGTACGACCAATTAAGATAATAACATGTTGAACCAAGTACTGTATAATTAATGTTCATGCATATCGATAAATGTGTATAGTGTTATGACAGAAGCAATGTTGAATGTACACAGTTGGTGTTTAACCAGAAATATACTGCCTCCGTATGACACACTCTATCTTCCAGGTGATAGTTAGTCAAGCGAGGTGAAGGTCAACAGGATTCACTGACATTTTTATCCAAAGCAGTGGGCGGTGTCAAATATATCCTTTCCACGAGCTTCTGGAGCAGTAAATATGTATTATTCTACCCACAACAGGAATACAGCTTCCTGATTAATAGACAAGTCATGTATGTAATGTTACTGCGTATTTGTTGTGAACATTTCAGAGACTTGCTTGGGATATTAAACTGAAGGCCCACATGTCCATTGGGATAACATTATGTTGTTGAAACCCAAAAAGGAAGCTTTTTTGTTTCTTAAATTCTATGGTATTTTAACAATGAAATAATGTAAAACAAAGTAATGAATCTTCTTTTTTCTTGATCATCTCGTGAAGCTAGTTTAGTTGTAAATTAGTATGACCTGAATTTGAAATTATTTTTTAATTAGGAATTTTACTGACATTTACCTTTGTACTGGAGCTGAATATCAGCATCTGATAAAAATTTAATATATTATAAATGGCATACACATATTATCCATGACAGGAAATATATGGCCCATGAATAAATAATTGCTTTTCCATGCAGTAATACAATCTGGGAGCCAGTGAATACATAAAACTGCACTGTGTTAAAGACTGTTCATCAGAAAAGAATGATACAACCTGTCAAATGTATGTAATATGATCAAAATGCATCTGTATTTTGAGAAAATATTCAGATGAGCATATTTTCATATAATGAAAAAATAATAAAATGATTAAAATAATCAATATTTTGCCTGTACAGCTAATCTTACCTAATTTATATTAAGATTAAATTTTAAATGATTAAAATAATCAATATTTTGCCTGAACAGCTAATCGTACCTAATTTATATTAAGATTAAATTTTAAATGAAAAAATAATAAAATGATTAAAATAATCAATATTTTGCCTGTACAGCTAATCTTACCTAATTTATATTAACTCAGTCAAGCAAGTCACACCTTTTCTCCATTTTATTCTGTTCAAAAGCGTTAAGGACCACGCAGCCCTTTTATTTCACTATAGTTAATGTATCTAATGAATATCTATAGCAAAATGTAAGAACTGGGTGATACTAAAGTTCTTCTGGTTAAAGTTTACATGTAGTGTTTGAAATACTCCATCTGTGTAAGATAGTGAACAATTGCTGATCACGACCATCATTCTATCCCCTGGAAACGTCACAACTCGTCTACACACTGTTTGCCACCCTTTCTCTGTCAGGTAATTGGGAGATGTGGACTATGTATGCTTATCACCATGTTCTATGGCACTGTGGGTACGGGTGAATGTACATAACCGAATCCAACGACGATGAGTGGAACAGGAACCATTTTGTCCTTGACAGTGTTTCTGACTGAACAGGAAATCCGAAGCTGAGCATGAAAGTCATGAACTACCCTTTTAAACAACATGGCTAAATATTGTATTCACAATAAAACATTGTCCAGCCTTATAACAGGAAGTACTAAAAGCTTGTTGTTTGGTGGAACGAGTGGTATGATTGTATAGGGTCTGAGTATGATTTCACACAATAGTAGCCTTAAAGCCATGCTGAGACACATATCGATAAGAAGGCTGTATCTGCTTAGTGGTAATTTTATATAGATTTAGCATGTGTGTTCAGACAATATATGTCACTAATAGAATATATAATACACACAAAGGCCATGAAATAATGCAAATTGGAAATATGAAGTTATATGTTGGACCACTCCAGGTTGAGTCAAAAGTTCAAAGCCATAAATTCCCCAACCGAGCAGGTCAACCTACACAGGATCTTTCACCAGACTTTGGGGCAGTGGTTAAGGTGTTTTGTTTTCCCCGCCAAAGGCATTGGTTCTTTTCACCTCATTAGTACTAGTGTTGGGAATTGGTTAAAACCTCATAATTGATGATTGCTTCATTACAACCGATCAATCATCGAAAATAATTGGTTAGCGTCATTTATGAAACTTTCCTGGGTTTTTTTGTTTGTTTTTTGTTAATGAAAAAAATAAATAATGAAAAACATGTAGTTCTTTGGGGTTTTTTTGTGTGACAAATTTCACATCTTGAAAGGATTACTACTTAACTAGTATGTTAGGAACATAAAATTCCTTGAGTCTTTAAGATAAATTCAATCATGACTTGGAACAAGCTTGTAGTGGTTATGAAATGTAACTTACAAAACCAACCTTGTGAAAAATATTGTTAATGCAAAAAGTGTTCCAGAATGGTCGTTTAGTCACTGCGACCAATCTTCGATTATTTCAATTAATTGGACCACCACTAATTAGTACACACAGGAAAACTGTTATCTGACACCCTCCATAATGATAATCACTCCATGGATCGAAATAGTGTCTAATTTGCGTGCCATGGAATGGCACAAATTTAATATCTTCAACATGTCCTGACGGCATAACTAAGATTATATTAGTAGTACACATCATGATTTATTTCATGAAAAATACGATAAATTTGACCAACTTAAAGATTCAAAATATTTGTTTTCAAACTGTTTATCGGTAGCACTCTCTTCTCACAGTTTAACATGGGTGTGGCCATTTTGAGTGCCAGTGCGCATAACCAGAAATCACATTTTGAATCATAACATAGTATAGTATGTTAATTTATGGGTCCAGGACAAATGAAGCTCAACTATTCTTTCAATCTTGATAGTGTTTAAGTATTCCAGTCTTCAAGTTTACATTCGCTCGTCACGCCGAAGACCCGGGTTCGAATCCCCACATGGGCACAATGTGTGAAGCCCATTTCTGGTGTCCCCGCCATGATATTGCTGGAATATTGCTAAAAGCGGCGTAAAACCATACTCACTCACTCACTCACTCAAGTTTACAGGTTGGATGGGACTCAACCAAAATGGTATCAAAATAGGTACTTCATTGAGAAAGTGTTATCCCAATTACAAAATGTTACATTTGACCACTTTCTAAACGGCACTGTATTTAATGGATCTCATAGTTAGACTTGTTAACTTCGTATATTGTCTGTCATCACATGCAAATGGCTGCTGTTAATATCACTATCTAGATTGTCTAGTCCAGAATCAGATTCACATACCCCTTCATATTGCTGGAAAATGTTGGAGTTAAAAAATATATATAATAAATATTAATTGATAAGCCATTTTAATGTTTGAGTCATGTTTATTCAGACCAGTAATCCTCATCCACACCTCTTATGGATGCACATCACGCTTTCAGGGGCGGTGGGGTAGCCTACGCAGATAGCATTCGGACGTTGGCCCAATGTTGGCAATGTTGGCAAAACCATTGCCAACGTTGGGCCAACGTCTGAATGCTATCTGGGTAGTGGTTAAAGCATTTGCTCGTCATGCCGAAGACCGGGTTTCGATTCCCCACATGGGTACAATGTGTGGTGTTCCCCGCCGTGATGTTGCTGGAAAATTGCAAAAAGCGGCGTAAAACCATACTCACTCACTCACTCACTCACTCAAGGCTTTCTGACATTTCAGTCTCTGCAAAAACAGTTTATGTGGGTAGGTGTCCAAGTTTGCATTATGGGTCTTAAACCGTCTTTGGTTTACAAATGGGCTGATTGAAAAATCCTCAAATTCAACAAAAGATATGAAATTCAAGTTTAAGATGTCTTTGATACAGCAAGCCAGACATTGACGCTTTTGAATCGTGTTTCTGGAATTGCTGCCATGAATGACCCAGACAAATGGTGTGATCAATGACTCGTAATAGTTCGCAAAAAGCACGATATGTCGCCATGATGAATACCATTCCTGGCATCTCTGACACTACCAGCAGCAGGCAGCTTTTCCCATCAAAACAGTTATTCCTTAATACAAGAAAGGAATTTGAATGTTTTATTCTCTTTCTAGAAAGTAGAAATTGAAAGGTCTTGGTAATGAAACACTGAGAATTTGAATGTTTTATTCTTTTTCCTGAAAATAGAAATTACAAGGTCTTAGTAATGAAAGAGAATTTGAATATTTTACACTCTTTCCTGAAAACAGAAATTGCAGTTTCTCAGTAATTTCCATATCGAGCACTCACCAAAGTTATTGAAAAAATAGAATCCTAAACCAACTGATAATGAAGAAAGGTCTGACATTTCTGAGACAAACAACAGCAATTTTCACAAGGGCTGTACAGTTATTTCTACTGTCCATCCTCACGGAGCTGGAAGTGGGTTCAAATCTTGGATTCACCTGATTATATTACTGGGTCTGTCTGTACCTTACCTGCTGTTGTTGCCAAAAGTGGTAAATATCTCAGCACCACTTTGGTCATTCTTCATGCATTAAGCTGACTCTGTAATTATAACAGAAATACTGTTGAAAATGACGTTGAACACAACTCACTCAAGGAAAACCAAGTTCTATGGTTAGTCAATTTCTTTATGGCACTGAACACGAATAAAGAATTGACGATCCATAGAACTTAGTTTTCCTTCATCTTTACAACTTCTAAGATGTCTCTCAGAGAAACAACTCAGTCAATATTAATGTTTTTAATGATATGACTTTATAGATAACAACTTTTTATTGTTTCTAATGATATGACTTTATAGATAATATAGAGGGACGTTTCAGTGTAGATTGTTACACTGTTTTCAAGCTAAAAGTGACTACAACTGAGAAGTATATATACATAGTATGTTGTGACAAACATCAGATTAACATTAAGAGCAGCATGTAATTGATTAAGAAGTGGTGCATGATTGGTGAGTCCAGGTGGGGAGTTAGCGCAACAAATTGCCAGAGTCATGAAGCCAATAAACAGGAGGAATTAAGTAGTAAAAACAGTAAAAAAGACAAGGTGCTAAGGCCAGACCAATTTTATTTCTTGTTTTACAGATTTTTGTCCACAGAAATCCTAAAGGCAGGAGGGGAAAAAAATAAAAATAAAAATCACCAGTCAAAGTAATATTCCTTGTAAATACTAAAAGTATTTTACTTTTGACAATTTACGAAGTGTATATGGGGAAAAACAATCTAAAACATTTTCTTGCACATTTACATTTTTGGCCAATAGAAATATTAAAATTTTATTTCTTGAGCGGAAAATTTTTTATTTTTAATTTTTTTTCTTAATCTTGAAAAAATATGACCGGCGGATCCGTAAAACAAGAAATAAAATTGGTCTGGCCTAATGAATAAAGTCTGTAAATTGATTAGTTCTTCTTAGGCCGATGGTATGTAGTATCCATGGTCTCTGTTGATCAAAGGATTTTGGGGCCTTAATGTTTAGTTTTCATGATTGCAATGAACACAATGCTAATATGATACTCTTTTCACAAAATTTCAATTTTGAACAAAATTATGTGGTTTTTTTCAATTTGCATGCTAAGGACACTTAATTTGGTATCCAAGGTTGTACCCTAATTGTTATAAGAAGATTGCAGTGGAAATGATGTTTGAGGCAAACAGTTTGATTGGTTGGTCAGACTTGATGACTTGGTTTAAGCATATCCCAGTTGTGAAGATCAATGCTCATGAAGTAAATCGCTCCTGAATTTTCACAAGATGGACCAAATCATGAAATAGCAGCATTCAGTCCTCATCATGCAAACACACATCCATCCCTGTGCATGTACTCTGGAAGTCTATTTATCTCTGTTAAATGGGGTTTTTTGAGCATAGGAGCGAGGTGAATATTGGAAATATCTGGTTGTGGTACAAACATGGTAATAACATACATACAAAATGCCATTTAGAAAGTGGTCAAATGTAACATATGTTGTATTTGGGATAACACTTTGTTAGTAAAGTACAGATTCTAGTATTTTGGTTAGGTTGAGTCCCATGCGGGATTTGAACTCACACTCTCAGAGTGAGGCACACAAAGTCAGCCATCTAACCCACTCAGCCACCACGGCTTCCACAGCGCAATAACAGCCTGATATCACAGTCTAAGTTAAAGAGCACTGCAAAACTTGTCAGATAATAAACACATTTCTTTAGAGTGTAGGTGTCTTTAATTTATGCATTAGGGCGGTGGGGTAGCCTTGTGGTTAAAGCGTTCACTCGTCACGCCGAAGACCTGGTTCAATTCCCACATGGGTGCAATGTGTGAAGCCCATTTTTCTGGTGTCCCCCGCCATGATATTGCTGGAATATTGCTAAAGCGGCATAAAACTAAACTCACTCACTCACTTTATGCAGTACACCATGTACATAGTGAAGGCATAACTACATCATGAATCCATAGATAGTTGACGTACACAGATACTGTTGGAAGAAAATGAAACATCCTTTTGTGTCACAACATGGTTGTAATAACATGATGAACACAGATGACTTCAACAGTATGTTTGAAGAAAATGAAAATGTTACACCTCCCATCCTTTAACTTTGATACATTGATTGTAATCTGATCATTTGTTTTGACATTATGATCATCCTGTTTTTAGACAAAATGTTCGGGTCCTCATCTTCAAAACTAGTAAATATTTCCTTTTGGAAGTATGAAACAGGGTATTAGTATGAAATGTTGAGATAAACATCGATGTTTGACGTCAAATGTCTCATTTGTCTTGTTTTTTTTATCTAAAACCAGGTTTCATTTTTGTTCGCCAAACTTTGATCAAGCCATAATGTAATTTATGGTGTTTTGGGAGAATTGTTTAGATGTCAGGTAAAGTACATATTTTGTGTTGTGTTGAACGAAGGTCATTTGAATCATGATCGTTGACCTTTTTTTGTATTTAGTGTAACAAGTGACTCAGTGTGAGTGCGTGGGTAATGGTTGATTTTTCAACGATCAGTGTTTTCACAATTATACATAAATGCTAAAGCTGCATTGTATAATTCACTTCAATGCGATACGATGCATACCTCCATAGCACTGTCGCAATATGATAAACGATATGCTACAATACAAGGGAACTTGACATGTTAAGCAAATATTTCCATCATCAAAGCGCAGCTGCCATTAGTTCCACATATTTGTCCTGAATTTGCGACTACAATACGGAAATACCATTTCATATTCATTCGAATAATATACCAGTCTGCGAATAAAATGTCAGTGGGTTTAAATTTCATAGTCGCTGATGAAGAGAACTCATCTTGTTCAACTTGATCAAGTCTGTGTGTAGTGTTACATGTGTCCAGTTTAAATACTTGTATTATCAAAACGTGCATTTAATGGCCATATAATTCTCATGAGCTTTGGTGTCACGTGACAGTATTGTACTGTAGACAACAAAATCTTTGGGCTTTGGTGTGCTAATCAGAACAAAAACTACTTGTGATTTGGGAAATTGACAGGTGTTCCAAATTAAATGAACAGTCACTAAAATGAAACATTTTCAGTTGATTCAAGTACACAAAACCTTTGAGACCTCCCGGACATGCACGAAGAAAATGATATTTGTGATTTAGGCCAAACCTATTTTATTCTTGTTTTATGGATCTGTCGGTTGTATTTGTTCAAGATTAAGAAAAAATACTTTAAAAATTTCTCAGCCCAAAAAATATAATCCTAATGTTAAGATATACGGTAGCGAGACTACACAAGGCAGTTTGTTGGACACTAAGAGAACAAAAATCTGTCCAACAAGAAATAAAATTGGCCTGGCTTTATGTTCAGACCATTTTACATGTCACCGTTATTATCTCGCGCCGCGTTTAGAGCAAAGCAGGGGATATAGTATTAGGCTCCGTCCGCCGGTCCGTACGTACGTACGAATTGGAATATCTTAAGAACCGTTGACTGGATTCTTTTCATATTTGGTACCTAGGTTCATCACAGTAAAAGAAAGGTCCCAGTCAGGTTTGGTGACCTTGACTTCATTTCAAGGTCACAAGGGGACTTTAACGTTTTACCCTTGTCAGCGAGATATCTCAAGAACCATTCACTGGATTTTCTTCATATTCAACACCAAGCTTTATCTAGGGAAGTTACAGGGCCCAGTCGATTTTGGTGACCTTCACCTAATTTTCAAGGTCACGGCGACACTCTGAAGATTTCAGCATGTTAACCTGCATGTAAAGATTGTCAGCAAGATATCTCAAGAACCATTCATTGGACTTTCTTCATATTCAACACCAAGCTTTATCTAGGGAAGTTGCAGGGCCCAGTCGATTTTGGTGACCTTCACCTAATTTTCAACGTCACGGCGACACTGAAGATTTCAGCATGTTAACCTGCATGTAAAGATTGTCAGCGAGATATCACAAGAACCATTCACTGGACTTTCTTCATATTTGACACCAAGCTTCATCTAGGGAAGGTGCAAGTTCCAGTCGATTTTGGTGACCTTCACCTAATTTTCAAGGTCACGGTGACACTTTGAAGATTTCAGCATGTTAAACTGCATGTTAAGATTGTCAGCGAGATATCTCAAGAACAGTTCACTGGATTTTCTTCATAGACTTTCAAGACTTCCCTTGAATGTTTTTCAATAAGCAATTTCTTTATTACTATTTTTGCATATTTCATACACTAAGACATTTATGTCAAGGTCAAAGTGAGTCTTGAAAATATGTGCATTTGAACAACTACAGAGCAAGATATCAAGATAGGTTGACTGGTCATGTTTTTGTTGACATTTAACTTCATCTTAAAGTACAACCTTCACTTTCATTACTTTTTAAGTTTGATTTCATAATTTGGGGCAGGGGATTATGTCACCTTAGTGAGAATGCTTGTTTTTGTTTGCATCATTTTGTATGGATACGTAAAGTTCACCGATGGAACGTAATAAGTCTGATCTACTTTCTTTTCTTTCTGGTTGGTGTAAATAGAACATTTTGAAAGACAGACTGGCTGACTTAATTTACCATCTATAATATGTGGACTTCCTGCAGGTCTGAAATAGAAATGTTCTCTTGCAAAACAGGACCGATGTCTGAGAACAGTAATATCTCTTATTTGGCTGTCACAACTGACACTCTGTTCTGTTGGAGACAGAAACCAGTTTGATGTTAACTCAGATTGTAATTCTAGACTTGATGGAGTTTTTTTGAAATATGAATTATTATTTTTCTTTCTGTTACCAGACATTTCCTTGTGTCGGGTAGAGTAATGAAACTGGCATCTATAGTCTGAACTTGTGAAAAACTATCTCCCTACTCTGGCTAGTTTGCCTTCTGAAAGAATGAGTGAGTGAGCTTAGTTTTACTCTAGTTAGATCTACTCAATTGGGATATGATGACGTGTCAACCAAGTTAGCGAGCCTGACCTCCCCATCCTGTAAGTCGCCTCTCACGACAAGCATGGGTTACTGAAGATCATTTCTAACCCAAATCTTCATCGGGGCCATATGAAAGAGATTTAACACACTTGGTCTACCCTCAAAATATCAG